AGGACCCCGCACCCGCTAGATGCTGTTGGGCAGAGGCTTCCTGCGTTAGTTCGTCTCCTGCATCGGATGATCCCCAAGTATTAGCAGACACCTCGGGGCTATCTCCTACCCTGCCGAGGGTCCAAATGAACGCATTGAAATGGCTGTGGAAACAGGAGTTGTTCCCCAATTCCTGACGCTTCTTGGAGCTCCCGAATTGCCCACCGTGACCCCTGCCCTAGGAGCCACAGGTAATGTGGTCGCTGGGACAGATGAACAGCTCCCCGCTGGGATAGGTGCTGGAGCCCTCGCCGTCCTCCCCAGCCTGCTCGCTGTCTCCAAAACGAATACTCAGGACGAAGCTGCGTGGACAATGTCCATCATTACCGCTGGTCGGCAGGACCAGATCCGTCAGGTCGTGGACCACGGGCCAGCCCCGATCCAGCCCGCGTGCTCTCCAAGGCTGGCCTGAAGATGCCGAAGGAGGCCGTGTGGGCTGTGACCTCCTACTCCAGCTGCACAGTTTGGTGCCGTGCACCTCGTCCACTGCGCCGTCGCCGGACCGCTGCTGAGCGTCTGACTGCGTGGACACCACGGTTACTCTGCTGACCCTGGACGCCACTGCGGATGTCTCTCAGGCTGCTGAGGAGCTGGGAGAAACAGAGAAACTGAGGGTAAGGATGGAAGAATGTGGAGGCCTGGATAAAACTGAAGCCCTACAGGGCCATGAAAATGAGTCTGTGCACAAACTTCACTCAACGTGACTGAGAAGCGTTTCTCTGTAGAGGAAGAGGAAGATGAGGACGCTGTGCCCGAAACTACGTGACAGCTGCACCTTCCAAGGCAGGCTGCGACTCCCGGGCCTTGAACTTCTAGACTGCGCAGCTGAGGCTCAGAGGGGTTTGTCGTGTGCTATGTTTGGTATCAGTTTGTCTTACTGTTTCTCTTCCAAGAACTCTTTTTTTTGTTTTTGTTTTTGTTTTTTGGAGAGGTTTTTGCTATAGGGCGCGTGCGCTCACCAGACAGACAAAGAGAGACAGAGAGAGACAGAGAGACAGAAAGCAGGAAATCACCCCGCCAGGGAGGATGGTCACGCCGCAATCCCTTCTCCTCCATTCTCCTCTCGGGATCTTGGGCACGCACGCACACGCGCCCAACGTGAGTTTAAGCCACCGGGTCTGGGACTCGAACCGCGGTTGACTATGTGGGAGTCCAGCCATTACGCTAACTGCTGGTCCTACCAAGAACTCTTTTTAAATGTGGTTGTCATTGTAGCACCTTTTACCATGAGACTGTACTTGAGCAGTTCCAAACTACATACTGTAAGAAGCCTGTCCTCCAAGCGCGTTTCTTACTTCTATGTGGAATTTCATACCTTACAACGTCCTGTAAATAAAATTAAATTCCACCCTTTTCTTAAAAACAAAAAAAGAAAAAGAAAAAGAATTGAGGCCCCCCACAGCCACCAACAGCCAGTACCAACTCTGAGAACTCAACCTCTGGACTGCGAGGAAGCCTACAGAGGCCATTAGGGAAGGCACCCAGAGAGGAGCCCAAGTCTGCAGGCCTCAGTCCAGCTGAGCCGCCAGCCAACAGCCAGCACCAACCTGCCACCATGTGGGTGAACCATCTGAAAGTGGGTTACCCAGCTCCCAGAGGCACTGCTTCAGTTATTGCCTCAGGGATCAAAGACGAGGTCTCTCTACTGAGCTCCACCCAGATTGCAGATCCAAGAGCAAAATAAGTGATTGCTACCGTCTCCAGCCACCAGGTTTTGCAGGGTTTTGTTACACAGCACCAGATAACTCGTGCAGGTGGAGCATTCCGGAGGACGGTCAACCTGGGCCACACAATGGTCACCTTTAAACACATGCAGACTTGCCGTGACCTGTACGGCTGAACGTGTGATCTGAGTGGGGGCTAGATTAGATTAAAGTGGGGGGTAGTGTAGACTAAAGAATAAACATAAAGATAAAGACACTCTTGGGGCCGGCAGATGGTATGGCGGTTAAGATGCTGGATTCCCACATGGCTCACCATGGTTTGAATCCCAGACCTGGCGGCTTGCTTTCTCACTTTCCCTCTCTCTCTGTCTCTCTCTAATTTTCTGGTCAAGTTAAAGAATAACAATGACAATTTAAAAAAAAAAATAAAAAAGAGGGACCAGCAGTTAGTGTAATGGCTATGTCGCTGGACTCCCATGTAGTCGACTGCAGTTCGAGTCCTGGACCCAGTGGCTTAAAACTCACGCTGGGCACGTGTGCGTGTGTGTCCAAAATCCAGAGAGTAGAACGGAGGAGAAGGGATTGCGGCGTGGCCATCCCTCCGGGGGGTGATTTCTCACTTTCTGTCTCTCCGTCTCTCTCTGTCTGGCGAGTGCACGCGCCCTATAGCAAAAACCTCTCAGAAAATAAATAAATAAATAAATAGATAAATAAATAGATAAATAAATAAATAAATAAGAGTAGAGAAAAGTGGGTATTAGGTGATCTCAACTCCTCTGATGGAGGCAGCTGTGGCCCAGAGCTGTTCCCAGGTTTATTCTTTTAAAAGGCGAAAAGAAGGGAAGGGGAAAAGGAAAGCAAAACCAGTAGTTTTCCGTCATCGGCTGAAGACGAGAAGAACTCTGGCACCACGTGCTTCTATGTCAGTTTTCTCTTATTTTCTTGGGGCTTTCTGATGAACACAAATGGCTTCCTTGAACTGATACTGCTTTGCGGTTTTGACACAGAGACAGCTTGCATATTCATTTGTTTGTTCGTTTAGCCTCGCAAATGGCAGCCCCCCAAAAAACTATATATGCATTTTGGCGTGTGTTTAAAGGTCACTATTATGGCTTTCTGATTACAAGACTGGATGCCAAGATGTCACCCCAGAAAGACAAGAAGCCTCAAAGGTTGACCTGGAAGTTTAATTGCGACCTTACTCTCCCAGTAGAAGATGGGATTTCTGACTGGAAATTCTGAACAGTTTCTGCGGGCAAAGGTGAAAGTCAGGAGAACTGGTAACCTCGGCCATGTTGTTCACACCGAACGCTTCAAAGACAAAAAGTCATAGTTATTTCTGAGAAACAGTTCTCTAAGAGGAATGTGAAATACCTCACCAAGAAATACCTTAAGAAGAACAACCATCGTGATTGGCCTCATGCGGTCGCATCTGATAAAGGAGACTTACAAACGTCATTAGTTCCAGATTAGCAGATTAGTCCGGATGAAGAAGGGGGAGTCTGAGGACCAGGTGAAGCCTCGCGCTCTCAGGCTTCGCTTACTAAATAAAACAAGGGAAGCATACGTGAGAAAGAATCGTCTGGAAATAAACTTTTAGTTTATTAATAAATAAAAATCACTGCTATAAAGAAAAAATATATATATATATAAATATGTCAATATTGTGCTGCCCAGGTTGGCCACCCTCCACAGAGACTCCCTAATCAGAAAATCTGAAATCTGAAATGTTCCAAGATTCAAAGCATTCCGAGCGCCAATATGGGGCCACAGTGGAAAACGTCACACCTGGTCTCCGAGGTTGCAGTCAAACATCGTAGGACTGGCTCAGTGACGCAGTAGTGACAGGTTGCTCAAATAGTCCTGGATCCACATGGAAAAATGTGGTTTAAAAAATAATAATAGTATTCTATTTAATTAATTTATTATTATTATTTTAAAATTTGCTATAAGGCACCTGTAGTCACCAGAGAGAGAGAGGGAAAGAAGAAAGCAAGCTACCATGTCTGGGACTTGGGCCATGATCAGCTCTGTGGGAGTCCAGTACCCCAACCACCTGTTGGCTCTCAAGAATGTGCGTTTATTTCCTGGTCGACCTACACATGCCAGGCGTGTGCCCCCGTGATCCTAACTGGCCAGGAGGACTAGAGGAATCATGGCATGAGACGGTGGGCAGGAAACTTGTCTTTGTCTCTCTCTCTCTCTCATAAAAGAAAGAAATAAAATGTTTTCTAAAATGACCTTCAGGCTACAGGTGTAAGGTGCATATGAAATGTAAGTGAATTTCGTGTTTAGATTTGGATGTCATTCCAAAGATAGCTCATTACGCACATGCAAATAGTTAAACATCTGAAAAAATCCGAAAAC